GATGAAAATTTCCAAAGTTACTATGTTTTATTATAAAAATAATCACGTGTTGCATTATTTATGATTGCCAGTGTATGACTAACGATGAGTAATTCATACTCATTTACATGATGACTTTAGTTCCCACCATAGAGGCGCCTTACTATTGTTCTTCAATGGAGCTTCACCTTAAGCCAAACATTTATTAAATGTCTTCGCTTTTTCGCATTAAGGTCCCGACTTAGATCACGTTTTTTGCTACGGCTAGTTCACGTTACCCCTTCACACAATGTACATATTGACATTTACCTATTAGAATGTGTAATAACAATATTATGTGAACTATATACATTAAATAGATGATTATGATCTTAAACTATGCATTCAAAACTTTATTGAAATTTTTAATAAATTATAATTTCATTTTAAACTATTATAAATTTGAATATTAGGACTTTTTAAAGACCTAAGGACCCTAAGTCCTTAAATTTGGACTTGGTCTTTAAAGACCAGGTTTACATACCAGGCCCTAAAGTCCCGGACCTAAGGACTTTAACAACCTTATTTAACAGGTATAGTCATGATTGCATTTTTTGCTCTCCTTTTAATTTCTAAGATAGCGTCCAATAGTTGATTAGTCTTCTCTGCTAGTATCCTCTCTTGTTGTTCTGTTAAATCTTTTAGGTAATTCTCAACAGTTAATGTCTTTGCTAATTGATCTTCCATTAAATTTTCATGATCTTCAACAATCGGTGTTTTCTCAAACCAAGATCTGGTAACCTCGCTGGTAGATTCAGTGGTAATTGGAACCGAAAATATGGGGACACTTGTGTGTGGAATTACTATATCGCGTCTACTATTATTATCAACATCGACACAATTATTGTGCTCATATTTATGAATAAAACAATATGATTTTCTATTTTGCTCCATTAGATTCTCGAAATGATAATCAAAAATTGGTGTTTTCTCCAACCGTTCATATAAAGGTTCGGTAATCTCCTTGGTAGACTCGGTGATAGTTGGCTCTGTTTGAACCGAAGATATAAAGGCACTTGTGTATGGAACTACAATGTGTCTACTATTATCATCAACATCGGCATAATTATTGTTAATCAATTCTGAATTTATTTGTTCATGTTTCTGAATAAAAAAATATGATTTTCTATTTTGCTCCTCCATTAAATTTTCGAAATTGTATTCAAAAATTGGTGTTTTCTCAAACCGTTCACACAAAGATTCAGTAAACTCTTTGGTAGACTCGGTGATAGTTGGCTCTGTTTGAACCAAAGATACGGGAGCACTTGTATATGGAATTACTAATTCGAGACCACTATTATCATCGGCGTCGGCACAATTATTGTCAGAATTTATTTGTTCATATTTCTCATAATGATCTTCAATCATTGGTGTTTCCTCTGATTTCTCATGTAAAGGTTCGGTAATTTCCTTGGCAGACTCGGTAATAGTTGGCTCTGATTGAACTGAAGATACGAAGGCACTTGTGTATGGGATTACTGTTTCGCGTCTACTATTATCATCAACGTCTGCACAACTATTGTTAATAAATTCTGAATTTACTTGTTCATGATTTTGAATAAAACAATATGATTTTCTATCTTGCTCCTCCGATGAGTTTTCAACAATTTGTGTATTTTCTAACTGTACACGTAAAGATTCGATAATCTCATTGACAGACTCAGTGGTAGTTGGCTCTGCTTGGACCAAAGATACAGGGGCACTTGTATATGAAATTACTGTTTCGCGTCTATTATTATCATCAACATCGGCACAATTATTGTTAATCAATTCTGATTTTACTTGTTCGTGTTCCTGAATAGAACAATGTGATTCTCTATTTTGTTCCTCCATTGAATTTTCACAATGTTCAACAATTTGTGTCTTCTCATGTAAAGGTTCGGTAATCTCCTTGGCAGACTCAGTGGCAATTGGCTCTGCTTGAACTGAAGATACGGACGTACTTACATATGGAATTACTATTTCGCGTCCACTATCATCATTATTATCATCGATATTAACACAATTATTATTAATCACTTCTGAATTTACTTGTTCACGTTTCTGAATAAAATCACATGATTTTCTATTTTGCTCCTCCATCAAATTTTCATAGCGATCTTCGACCATTGGTATTTCCTCCAACTGTTCATGTAAAGGTTCGGTAACTTCTTTGACAGACTCAGTAACAATTGGATCTACTTGAACCGAAGATTCGGAGGTATTTGTATATGGAACTACTATTTCGTGTCCACTATTATCATCAACATTAGCACAATTATTATTTATCACTTCTTCTTCCTTAATTTTCACATCTTTAACTTTCGATGCAATCTGCTTTCTTGTTCTTTTTGTTGTACCAGCTTTTGTTGTTGCTTTTGACTTTTTCGTTTTCGTATTTTTAGGTTTCGAAGGTGGCTTAACGAAGAATGGACACAAAGGAAATCGTTTATTGTGTTCTTTACTTCATAATTTTAAATAGAAAAAGAATTAAATTCATATTTTTATAACTAAAAATACATAAAAATATATTATTTTCTTACGTTGGATCATCTTTTTGTTCCCATCCTTCTAACCCTACACCACAATATTGACAAGTTACATTATCGAGAGAACCGATTGTTGGAGAGTAAATAAATCCCGCTTTAGCCATCTACAATTCCCAAACTGAGATATCAATAAATAATAAAGTTACAAATATCTTGATGCTTGATGACTTTTTTCTTTTTTTTTTTTTTTTCAAAAGATAATATTCAATTAATTTCTAAATTAATATGAATGAATTCTATTACCTTTTTAATTGTACCAACCCAACCTTTCTTGCCATCATGAGGCCACCAAGTGCCAAAAGTTTTAATTCTAGCTTCTTCCATATTTTTGGAGGTTGGTAATTTATCTTTATCGTCCCAACTAAAAGGTAGTTTATTATCATTAAAGTTTCTCATTGAGCAGTAACAAATTGCCCAAGCACAATCTGGAGAATGATTGACATGTTCTTCGAACGGATCGTCTTGAGGATCCCAACCTTCCATCGATTTATGACATAGAAAACACACAACATTATCTTTCGAATTTGGAACCGGATTAAAATAGAATCCTGCTTTTGCTAACTAAATAAATAAAATAAAATAAAATAAAAAATTAAATAAATTTCATAAGAATTATTTCAATTAACCACTTAATCACAAACCGATTCGGGTGTTGCTTTAAATTCCTCGGACTCTTTATAGGGCCATTTCGATTTTTTAGTATGAGTATAAAAAGAATGCAACCGGTTCTCATATATTTGCATATTCATATTACAGTATTAACGATTTTTAGCACTTAAAAAGAGTATAAATTCTCGTATCACGGTCACGACCATGACGCGTTTATATTTTATCTAAATGTGGTGGCACGATGATGTACAATCACGTGCATACGATCAATGTGCAACAAGAAAGAACGGTAATTACTGATAATAAATTAAAATAACCAAGATTGGGGAACCGTTAAAGCCAGGTACCATTACAAAATTTAATTAAAAAATTATTAACGTTAAGGTTAGGGTCAGATTAGGGTCTGTATG